CAGCGGGTACAGCTTTGGAAGCCCAGGAAGCCGAAAGCCACTCTGCGCCCGCTGCCGGCTTTCAGCTTCCCAGGCTTCCAAACTCCCTCCACTGCCCTCTGCCTCCTGTTCCCAGTGCCCTCTGCCTCCTGTCCCGGCAGGGACGGGAGGCAGAGGGTGCAGCTTGGGAAGCCCGGGATTTTTTTTCTTTGGCTAGAACAGATTAAATGGTTTTCAGTGCATTCCTATGGGAAATGGTCCCTCAACCTATGGACTTTTCGACCTGCAGCCACATAAGTCGAGGGTCCACTGTATTCTGAGTTCTGACTCTACGTTTCTCAAACAGTTCCTATACTTATTTTTAAGATAAACGAGAGCAAAGAATGATTTTTTCAAACAAGTATGTCGTTACAAAGGGCATCAATACTTTCATAGCCCTCTTTGATAGTTCTGGAAAACCTGCTTGTATGTGAGGAGAGAAATTTGGAAGGGACTGTTCCTTGAACTATAATTTCAGAGCACCATCAGTGGATATTTCTATGAGCTTGTCATCCTCTGCTGCTGTGAGCCCCTCCAGTTCATACACATTAACTGAACAGATCTTTAATACAGTTTTTCAGGAACAGGAAAATATTCACAGAAACTATGCTGCAAATCTTCCAAGTACCATGGCATAAGTGATGTGTCCTTCTCAGACAACTCTTCATCAGTGGAATCAAGAAAATTTGTGAGATTTGGAAATGTCTCATATTTTTGGTTCGATAGGCAATGATGCCACAATTCCAATTTTTTGATCATTGCTTCGATCTTGTTTTCAATTTGAAAAACTGTAATTTTTTCTCCTGGAAGATTTAAGTTGAGCATATTTAAATGAGTGAAGATATCTGACAGATATGCTAATTTGATTAACCAGAAAAAATCTGCCCAACAATCACTGAGGTGAAACTGCTTCTCCATGAGGAATAATCTTATTTTGTCTCAATTCCCTAAAAAGAGACAAAACTTCACAGTGTAGCAAACGTTGGTAGTGTTCATGGTCCTTCATATCTTTGCAAAGCTGTTCAAAAAGTTTTGCATTCAGTAATTTGCTTTTTGTAAAATTGACGATTTTGACCGGTTCATTCAAGGTCACTTTGTTGTTATGTCTGTGCTTTCATCCAATTGCAGTGCAAAGTAGGAGGACATGAATGTTCTTTCTATTAATCGTTCCTTGAAATTGGCTGATAAATCATTGACTCGCTTCTTAACTGTGTTATTTGACAAAGATATTAAGGGAAGGGTCCTTGACATCTTTCTCGTTGATCAATGCAGAAATCATGATTTATGCAGCAGGTATTATACATTCTTCAGCTATTTTGTGTGGTTTTCCGTTTTTTGCTCTTCGTTGAGAAACATCAAATGAGGCCATCACTGCATTTTCATTGTTACAACCTCCTGCAGTCTTTTAAACCATTTTTTTTACTTTCCCCAAGCTCATGCTCCTTATTTTTGAAAAAAATAATCAATGCTCTTTGAGGCTTTTTTTATGTTAAGCATTGAGATGTCTTCACAATTTTTAAGGTTTCATGACCTTGTTGGACAATGTCTCATAACACAATACACACCGTAGTAGTTGCTGGTCTTCAGGACCTATATATGTGAAGCCAATCAACAGATATTCCTTTCTATAACAGCAACACTTTTTATGATGACTGGAAGAAGCTTCATTTTGCTTTGAACAGAATGCACTCTCATCAACATCATCAGTTCTTTTACATTTCAAATTCAGTCAGCAATCCATTCTGAGACTTGTCTAGAATGCATTGTTACAAAATTTACTGTGATAATATCGAAAGTCACTCTACCCAAAAATAACCGAACAGTTTTATTAGCAGAAATTGAAGAAGAAACACTGTCACTAAGTCTGTCCAAACACTCACCGACACTGACTGACTCCAACTCTCTCTTCATGTGGCTTCTGTAACAAGAAATGTCACCTGTTATCTTTCAGGCACTCAGCGTAATTCACTTCCACGTTCTAACTGTATCCAGAAATATCAAACAGTTACTGTATTTGCTATCAGTTACTTTCATAACTGATTTTTTTATTTTTGCTTGTTTTTCATGGACATAGTAGGTTAGAAAAGCCAAATTTTACACAAACAAGATAAATTAAGATTTTGTTCTATAATTCCTTTTCTTTCTTGCATGCTTTCATTCATTATTTCTATTTTAACTGTAAAAGATAATAAAAGATCAATTTTTTCTAGATTTTGTGGATCCCCTGTGAGGACCTCAGGGGTCCACGGACCACAGTTTAAGAACCTATATGTTAAATAAATTTGTGCAGTGCAAGATTCCGTTAGGTCTTTAATGCTTTTTAAGAGAACAGAATACCAAAGCAGACAATGGCCTTTGCTGTCTTATGTCATGTAAATTGATCTGCATTCAACCACCAGTAGTTAAGCAACAATCAAAGCTTGAAAAAAAATCTCTAGCAGTTATGATAAAAAGGAAAAAACTTTCCAAGCTCCAAGTACAGAAGAACACACAAATACAATCAACTTTGACAGCAAGATACTCTTTTGGGAATGGAAAGATGCATCTGAACTGAACAGACACCAACATAGCCAATCAGCACTGTTGAAATATACTGTATTGATCATCATTCCAGCAATGCATGTGCATATGCACTGCTGCAATTGGGAAATTTGCTCCCAAACTCAGTGTATTGGGCAAGTGAGTAATTTCCTTCTACATATACTGTATCCTGGGACAGTCGTGGTACACCTGATTGTAATTCCATCTAGAAAAAGTAGCATGAATTGGAGAAAAGCCAGTCTGTGGTGGCCTTTTTAACAGTCCCGGTTGAAGCAGGCATAATTAGAATAATCAACACAGGGTAGTAGAATGACAATATTGCTAGTAGGATTCTGGCTATTGTATAGGACTGCAGCGGTCTATATTCTATTCTCATATGCCGCCAAGTCACCGAGTACATATGGTTACCCTATGAATGAATGACCTCCTGAAAACTCCTGAATTAGTGACCTTCAAAGGTTCAGTCAACTGGTTGGGTAGCTCAGTGAATTACTGTAGGTATCTGGTGCAGAGTCAGATGTTAGGAGTTCAATTCCCCACTATGCATCCCAGAAAAGCCAGTCTGTGTGGCCTTGGGCAGGCTGCCCAGTCCCAGGGTGCCTCCAGAAGGAGGAAATGGTAAAATGCTTCTGACCACTCTTTATGTAGAAAACCCTGAAAAGGGCTGACAGAGATCAGAAATGAAAGGTCCAATCACATGCTCATTTTTCAGTGTGATGCATTTTACAATATAATATACATAAAAGGTAAAGGTTCCCCTTGACATTTAGTCCAGTTGTGTCCGACTCTAGGGGGCGTTACTCATCCCCGTTTCCAAGCCATAGAGCCAGCATTTGTCCGAAGACAGTTTCCATGGTTACGTGGCCAGCGCGACTAGACATGGAACGCCCTTGCCTTCCCATTGAAGTGGTCCCTATTTATCTACTCGCATTTTTACATGCTTTCGAACTGCTAGGTTGGCAGGAATGACATATTATGTGCCATCAAATATCCTCAGGTAACCCTGTCAATGAACAACCTTCAAAACCTCCGTCATTCATTAACGGGGTTTGTTCAACTCTTGTAAACTCAAGGATATGATTTCCTTTATTGAGTCAATCTCATAGTTGGTCTTTCTTTTTTCCTGCTGCCTCCCGTCTTCCCTAGTATTGTCGCCACTTCAGCCATCAAATTTCTGTCCAATTTTTATTTTATTTTCCAAGGAAACGCACTTCGGGTAGCAGCACCAATATGAAATATACGGGGTTTTCTCTGACAGCTCCCAGCACAAAATACATTTTGCCCTTTTCTCATAACCTCTCCCTTTTCCATCCCTGCCCCGCTACCCGCAACGGCCCTGGAAGCATATCCTAAAAGCACCAACGGAAAAGGCGGGAAATAACGGCCACGCCACACGCCCCCCCCCCCGAGTCACCGGCGAGAGCCAGCCCTGCTTTTGGCCGGCGGGAAGGCCATAGAGCTAAAAGTAAGGCAGAGCGGAAACCATCCGCGCAACAATCTAGGTCAACAACGTCAAAGTCACAGAACATTCCAGCCCCGCCCCCGCCCCGCGCGACTGACCTATAAAAAGACCTATTTTTGTTCTACTTCCGAAGGAAGGTGCTCGTAGCCACGCCCTTTAAGGAAACGCAGGCCCAGGAGGGAAAGCGCAACCAATGAGAAACAGGGCATGATTCCGTTTACCCGGATGATTGGCAGCTACGTCGACCTTTGCGAGAGGAGGAGGAGGAGGAAGCGGCTTAGGGTGGCCGCTGCCGCCGCCGCCGCCGCCGCCAAGTTTAAGTATGGATGGATCTGTTCGGGGACCTTCCGGAGCCGACACCTCCGGTAGCGGTAGCAGTAGGTAAGCGAGCAGTGCCTTCTGGAGGCCAGACTGCGCCACTGGCTTGGGGAGAAGGTATCCCTGGGTTGTCGGCCTGAATCTCCGGGAGGTCTAAGAACCGCTTCCCAGCTCGGCTTCTCCCTCTCTCTCCTGGGAGCCTGAAGTTCTTGGCCTAGGAGGCGACAAGTGTCCGTGCGGAGCCTTTCCTGGGACCATCCTCCCTCGGCTGCCTCTATTAGCGACGTCTCCAGTTTCTCCAGGGTGGCTGCTCTTTTCTGATTGAAATAATGGCCAGCATTGGCTCCTCTTGGCCAAACATGCTGCAGGACGCATGCGCATGTGGACCCCGTCCCTCGGTGCACGCGCCGCGTAGTGACAGGAGGGCGCCCGCGCGAGACGAGGCGCGGTCTCAGACGCGCGCGCGCGCGCACACACAGGCGCAGGTTGCTTCTGCATGGGTAGCCTCCCTGCTGATGATCTCTGCTGAGAGCATCACGAACTTCCCAAAGTCTGTGGAGCAGTGATGGCCACGGGTGGGAGGGGGCAAGGGGCGGCAGCCATTCATTCGTTCACCCCCGGAATTTGGAGTGCGATTTTCCAAGCACCAGCCCAGTTAAATGTGCCCCCAGTGGTCATGTATCTTTTCTTCTTTTATGTTGTAATGTGCTTTTCTAGAAAAGGAAGGTCAGAAAGGATCCGTGCTTTTTGATGATCTTCCACCAGTCTGTAGCACCAATTTGGGTATGACTCTTGTTTATATCTTGTCTTTCACTTATCTCTTGTGTGTTAGAAAGAGTTAGATGGACTCCTTGCAGGTTTTTGCTATATGGCGAAAGATGCCATCCTGGCTTTAATTGAACACTGTACATCTGTTAGCTTTATATATATGTATTCCTAATGCTTTCAGTACGGAGTGGTCTACACTCTAGCCGCTTAGAGTGGTCATGTTACCAGATAGGCGGGATATAAATAGAATAAATAAATAAATAACTGACCAACAGAATAATCTTATATGTGTCTATACAATAAGATTCATAGTAGTTTGCCTCTGGTTAGTAGGTCTCCTGCCAACCTAGCAGTTTGAAAGCATGTAAAAATGCGAGTAGATAAATAGGTACCGCCTCAGTGGGAAGGTAACGGCGTTCCGTGTCTGGTTGCGCTGGCCAGGTGACCACGGAAACTCTCTTTGGACAAATGCTGGCTCTATGGCTTGGAAACGGAGATGAGCACCACACCCTAGAGTCGGACACAACTGGACTAAATGTCAAGGGGAACCTTTACCTTTGCCTAAGTAGCTGTTAAACCCCCCCCCCCCCCCCCAGTCCTTTGTCCATCTAACAAGCCTATTCAGGCCAGGAGAAAGTGAAACCATCGTGGAGGATGTATCAGGGGTCTCCTGCCAACTCTCCTCAGACTGAAGAAGCTACTTGGATGAGTAGTGAAATGTTTCAACCTAGTAAGAAAGAAGTCCAGTTGCCATGGCTCAACTTCCAGATAAACAGGCAAAAGTTTAGATGTAATTTTTTGTTGATAGGATGGGCGTTTTGTCTGTGAAACTAGCTCAGAAACCTAAGTTTTCAATATGTGTTTTCTTTCAGGGGCAGGGAGCTCTTTGCTTTTTGATGATCTCCCACCTGCTAGCAGTGGAAATGCAGGTAAGCAGGTCTCCATGTTTTTGTTGCCTTTCATTGCATTGCCATAATAAGGTCAAGTGCAAGAAGGAATGCTTGAGGAGTGCGCACCTGAGTCTGCAAATGTTGATTAACCTTAGCACTGAAACAAATGATTACAGAAGAATATTATTGAAGTCAAATTATGGTAATAAAAGGGCTAATCTTGAATTGTAGGAGAGAAACAAAAATGCGGTGCTGTTCTAAAACATCTATCAGACTGTAATAGCAGCAAGAGTTATAGTGTACTTTTGTGGCACTAGTAAAAAAAAGAAATTGTTAATTATTAAAGAGCAAAATAATATCATAGTAATGCATTTTGTTTTCCAGATTCACATCTCACAGAGCAAGTTTCTCTTCCTTTGAGCTATGGGAAGGGAGAGAAGAGGAAATCTACTGAGGGAGAGAAGAATGGGAGTGAAGAACTTGTGGAAAAGAAAGTTTGTAAAGGTTTTCAGACAATCTGAAACCAAATATTTTTCTGTTCTAGTGCTACCTTAAATCATGGTAAAGATGACATTGTTTCCTTAACAGTGTCCTGATGACAGTTGTGCGTAGGAATGTGAGGAGCTGCTGGTCTAGGGTTGAACTCTTACTGAGCCCTCCCCTCCCCACAAAGAAAGTGTTCCCTCTTCCTTGTGGATACTGCTACAAACTCCTTTTCACTTGCTGGTTACTAGAGTACCTGTCTCATATTTGTATTATGCACATCCTGCTAAGGAACTTAGAGCTAAAGTGTACACAAGGTCCTTTTTTTTCTTTACAGCTGTTGTGTCAGTTGGTTAGCAGTGGTACTGTTTCATTTTATTTTTTAAATTAAATGTATTTATTGTCTTTCAGTTAACATGATCACTGAAGTGTCTTGCAGTAGGAACATTAACAAGTAGAATTCAAAAGAGGCAATGTGGGTAAACTGTTGTCTCAGGTTAAGTGAAGATTTGAAACCCATTCTTTTTACCAGCTCTGCTGCATGAGCTCCCTTTTCAATGACAAATACATATCCTGATGTTTCTTACAGTGTAACCTGGCACACCGCTGTGCATGTCCACATTTCTTCTGCTTGCATATGAGGCTTTTGGGGACTGATCTCAGCCAGGCTAAAGTATAAAAATCAAACTGTGTGTCTGAATTTCCCACCAGAATTGTGGTGTGTTCCTGTTTGCATTTGTTTGCTTCTACAAATAGCGCTTGCATTTATTATAGTCCCCAGAGTGCACCATTGTTCACTCCCCCGTGGCATTTGCCTGAAATACAATTGTCTGGTCTGGCCATGCAGTTGCTAACCTACTACTGTTTTACAGGCTTTACAAGTTCAAAATATGTACATTAGTGGATTCCAATTCAATTAAGCAGTTTTCTTTCAATATTTTTGTCTGTCTTTGACAATATTTCTGGCTCTGAAAGCTATGCTGAGAACTTTCTGTCTCATTTGACAGGCCTTACTAGAGCATTCTAATTAGTGTGTTCTGCTATATGGCTTTTAAGAACCAGAGGAGTAATAATAAATAACAGTCTTAGAACTGCAAAACCAGAAGGAACCCTATGGATCATTGAGTTCAGCTCCTGTCAAGGAGGTACAGTGGGGAATCGAGCAGCCAATTTCTGGCTCTGCAGCCAGATACTTAAACCACTGAGCTATCCAGTGGTTACTCCTTATGTGGTGGTCACAGGACGCCCCTTCACCCACAGGTGCCATCATCTGGATTTAAAGCCAGAATGGACAACTATGACCCTCCAGATGTTTTGACATAAAGCTCCCATCAGCCCTACACCGCATAAGTAATGCTTAGAGATGATAGCACTTACAGGCCGATACAAAACAAAAAAAAATCAAGAACTTGAGGGATCTCTCTAGCTCACCATTGACTTAAATCTTCAAAACAGTCTGAGGAAAAGAATTTTTTTTCAGAATGCTGCTTCCCTAGCTTTGTTATATACAGTGGTGCCCCACTTGACAATGATAATCCGTTCCATTAAAATCGCTGTTAAGCGATATCATCGTCAAGCGAAAGAAAAAAACCATTGAAATGCATTGAAAACCGGTTTAATACATTCCAATGGGCGAAATACCTCATTGTCCAGTGAAGATCCTCCATAGGGGAAGCCATTTTCGGTCGCTGTCTTCCAGAAATAGGTCTGGAAAACAGCAGGAGGCCATTTTGAAACCCAGTGATCAGCTGTTTTTGATCGTCGTAATGCGAAGAATTGGTTCCCGAAGCAGGGCACCGTTCATCGTAAAATGGATTTTCCCCATTCAATCATCGTTTTGCGATCGCAAAAACCTCATCGTGAAGTGATTTCGTTGTGGAGCGGGGTAATCGTCAAGCGGGGCACCACTTTAACTGTTTTGATTAGGTGTGGAATGAGCATTTGGGATTAAATTTGATGTGTAGTTTTACTTGGTTTTTCTTTAGGCTCTGCAGGAATATTTGGTCTGAAAGGTTATGTGGCAGAGAGGAAAGGTGAACGAGAAGAGATGCAAGATGCCCATGTTATTCAAAATGACATAACAGAGGAGTGCAGCCCCTTACCATCTCAGATGTGAGTCTTAACTTTCTGAACACTTGTTTTTAACTCCTGTGCATTTGTTCCTTTTCATGGTATACAAGAATGGTGCTTTATTACTTTATATGGATGGAGATTTTGAACCCGGCCAGTTTGATGTCTGGAAATGGTGTGTGGGGTATCGTTTTCTTGTGTTACTGTAATCATACAGAGATGTGTGAACACACACTCTCACACTCCAACATGGCCCTCGTTTTACATACTGATTTTGGTAAATGCAACAGAAAATTTCAGAGGCATCTAGAAATGTACTTTTCAATCAGAATCCTTAACAGACAAGGTCTGGAATTAAAGTTGAGAAGTATTCTTTAGAGAATAAGGTTTAGCTTTCAAGTGTCTACTTAATAATGTGGGGCACTGATACTTTGAAAAGTATGTTTAAACTAGGGTTTTAACAGCTAATCTAAGAACCTATCTGCTAGCTTCAAACTAACATCCCTTCAGGCACCCTTTTTGTCTTCTTTAGCAGGATCTTTTGATGCTGTTGACACTATAGGTTGCTTCTCATGTTAACAAAGTTTGTAATAGCACTTTCTTCCTAAATGGAACATTAAAATGAGATATGTAGGGATGTTTCATATAATAATAAAAAACCAAAATCCCGTAACAGACCTGTTGAATCTATTGCTGAATGATACCAGAGAGTAGTAATCAAATTCACTGTAGCTTGTGGTCAGCAGACCAAACAATTGAATTTAGCCCAAAATGTATGTTTCTTCAAATTTCTGCTCACCACCCACTAATTGGGCTGCTTCTTCTCTGTTTTTATTTTGAGATATTTGTGTTTTATGGTCCTTGGAAGACAACTGTCCCTGTCAATGAACTTTCAGCAATATGTAAAATGTTATTTTCTTCATATCGATATTAATGTCTTTCTGTATCTTATATGTCAGTGGAGCTCTGTACTGACAGTTGTGAGATGCATGCCTTTGTCTTCAAAGGACTAGGAATCTCTGTTATTCAGAGTGTGGGCAGCAGAAAAGATGAGTTTTGCACAAGACCAGTGGGGTGTGTGCTCATGAAATTTTCATGGTGATAAGGGGGAGTTTTTCCAGTGGTTCTGTTGGCCCAATACATCTTCAGTCTTTCGGTCAGCTGAAGGGTCAGTCCATCAGCCTATGTCTGTCTTCTTTTTACAGTTCCCGGGTCTCATACTTTGCTGTCTTTGATGGTCATGGAGGAATTCGTGCTTCAAACTATGCAGCACAGAATCTCCATCAAAACCTGATTAAAAAATTCCCTAAAGGTAATGGTGGGTTCTCCCAGCTGAAGAGTTTGTACTCTCTGTCTGGTTAATGCTACCGACTAGAGTTGACCTCTTGAATTTGTGGGATTTATCTAAATATTGACTCACCATTCATCAACCAATGTAGTGGATGTATTCCAATTGGGGGCTAGGAGTTGAATTTGGGTCAAGCAGTTGGGGGAAGTCTGGGAGGAGAGTGCAGTGGGCTGTAGTAGGACACTTTCTTACTGAAGATGAGAGATTGGTAAAATGATTGAGAATGAGAAGTGACCAGAACTTTACATGTTGCCTGTGTTTATTATAGTAAATAACAGTATTTGGTAGTTATGGTGGTACTGCTAATCATGCATATCTTTAAGAATGGAAGAGGTGTTGTTGTATCCTGTAGGGTTGTAGACTCAGCTGTTGAAGGCAGTTTAAGTTGGAGCTACTGTCTGAGTTGTAGAATTTGCTGATTGCATAGTTTTAATATGTGTTGAGAAAAAAATGGTAACACTAGATAGGAACTTAGCTTACTTATCACAGAATATGTGTGGCCTGCTTCAGACAAGTATTAAACGTGGCTGATTGTGCTTTTGGGGGGGCATTATATAACAGGAGAAGTGCCCAGTGTGGAGAAAGTGATAAGAAGATGCCTTCTGGATACTTTCAAACACACTGATGAAGAATTTCTCAAGCAGGCTTCCAGCCAGTAAGTACAAATTTGACAATTGTTATGATGGCGTGAAGAATTTTTCAGTCTGTGTCGCTTTAGAAATGACGGGAGGGGTACTGCATCCTTGAATTCTTCCCCATGTCAGACAATTCCTGCTCTTGCTAGCAGCTCAAGATGAACTCTAACTAGGGATGCTGAAAAATTTCATATAATTCTTTTTTTTAAAAAGCAGCTAAGTTCACTAGCATTTGCTGGACCTAGTTAGTATATGGAACAGAGCAGGTATTTTTTTGGATTCTGCAATTCAATTTTGCTATTAAAACACACGTATTAGGAGAAGCTTGTACACAAAATGTGTACACACAGAAGTGTTCAAAATGTCCACATTAGAGAAAAGAGTATCAAATGTTATAGGAAGCTGTGTACAAAAATACACATTTGTTTTATGTTTTTAGGAAAAAGTTCTGAATGAAGCTGGCCTTCATGTGAAAATGGGAAAATAATACAAGGAGGACTATGGGGGCTGCAAAATCCACTGGGGGAGCACTTTTCCCATCCCTCTTTTAGCATATGTGATATAAGGGGATTTACACAACTAGCTTCCTATATCACTTCAAATTGCAAGGAGGACAGTGTCATGTGTTTTCCAAATACCGCAGGAAAAAAACCCAAGGGGCAAATTGCTAGTTAGGATTGTTTTGATTTGCTGTTGGGGTTGGAATTCTCTTAAACACACCTTTTGAGTTGTGGTTTCCAACCTCTTCACCGTGTAGCTGGAATCTTGGAACAGGTTTGGAATGTGCCTCAAAGAAGTGGGGTCATTTTTTGCTCCCAAATTCTTCTGTTTGTAGGAAACCTGCCTGGAAGGATGGCTCCACAGCAACCTGCGTGCTGGTGATTGATAATACTCTGTATATTGCCAACCTTGGAGATAGCCGGGTAAGTAATACTGGCAGTTGTATTTTTGGTATACATTGAATAAAAATGTTCCATTCCCACTAGGCTAAATTTGATGGGGGAACAACATCTACTGGCCAAACTGCTTCTGTTAGCAGAGTCAGGAAGGTGATCCCATATCCCCACTTTAACCCCCATATACATACCCCATGTTTGTTCAGGATAGACAGGTTCTCAGACTCTCCTTTGAGGTGGTTTTCTGGTGCCACCATGGGAAAGACTATTCTGGCACTGAAGTGCCATCATAAGGTTGCATTTTGGTCAGTGTGAGATACTATAACAGGCATATCTGACTGCAGCCATTCTCTTTCTAGTATGTTCCCCAATGGCAAATACATTGCCCTAAACTCTTCCTTGGAGAAAATGTGCCTGACGGTAGTTCTGCGTTCTTTCGTGTTTTCTAAGTGAGCGCTAGGTGTCGCTGTGAGCCTAGTGATGGCTAAGCCTTTTTTTTTCAAGATCGGTTCAGCTCAGTCCAAGTTCAGGAAATGACTAGTGGCTGCTGCTGAGAATTTGCTTACAACTTTGGTTTTAGTATAGCTGTGTCCCGTATACCCCAAGCAGAGGCTTTGAGTCTAAAATATTTACTCCTTGCTCACAAGGATTTTTGTGTCAGTGCAGGCGATTCTGTGTCGTTACAACGAAGAGAGTCAGAAACATACAGCTTTAAGTCTGAGTAAGGAGCACAACCCAACTCAGTATGATGAGCGGATGAGGATCCAGAAGGCTGGAGGGAATGTCAGGTAATACATTAAGGAAGCAGAACATCAAGGTGAGATCAGGATGAGTCCCAGGTCTCCTTTTTGGAGTGGCAGGGTACTCAGTTGGCTCCTCACCAGCATTTAGGTTTCTGAACAGCAGCTGAGATCTTGCTGTGTTTCCACCCCCTGTGATGCCTATTTCCATCTGCAGCATGGCAGAGACCTGCAAATGTATACTCAGCAAGTCTGGCATTCTTAAATTTATTCAAAACCCTAAGTTTAGAAACAAGATAGTTTGAACGCAGTTGACTGATTTTTTTTAATTTAGCATTTTTCTGATGATGAAAATATATTAAACTATAAAATTATAGAAACGTGGAGGTGTGTGTGGGAGAATCTCATTATGAATTCAGTTTTTTCAGAACTTGGTCAAAACTCTTCTGGGATTAGAAATTTACACTGGCCATGCTGGCTAGGAAATCCTTGGAATTACAGTCCAAGAGAATAACTTTTCCACATTCAGGCCTTTTATGCAAGCAAGCCAATTTAAGTGTTGAGATTACTGCTTTTCATCTGGATGATCAGAAGCCAAATAGTATTTTCACGTTTCAAAACCATAGTTCTTCCTTCTTTCCAAAGGTATAAGCTAGCCATTTCCACTGTGGCACTACTTTGGCATGCTAGACTACAAATGTCATCATTTCCAGCCACTGACTGTCAGCTTAGGTGGTGGGTGTTGTAGTCGAAGAATATCTGGAGCCTGATGTTCAGAACCAGGCCACATTTTGAGAGGTTTAACCTTGTGACATACTTCCCTTTGTGCTTGGTTCTCCTTTTCAGGGAAGGTCGTGTCCTGGGTGTCCTGGAGGTCTCTCGCTCCATCGGGGATGGTCAATACAAACGGTTTGGGGTCATCTCTGTGCCAGACATCAAACGCTGCCAACTAACACATAATGACAGGTAAAACTGGGTCAGACCCACATTAATAAGAATATAAGTCTTTTTAATGTTTTCTGTCAACAAATGCTAGACCTCAAAGTATGATCGTTACTATTGTTATTTGCCTTAAAAGTTTTGTATAGAACTTATGAGTAATTATTCTTCCAGGTTTATTCTGTTGGCTTGTGATGGTCTCTTCAAGGTCTTCTCACCAGAAGAAGCTGTGAATTTCATCATGTCTTGTTTGGAGGTGAGGGTTAACTCTGTGTATTAGCTTTAATATGAAATGGTGGTACTTTTGGGAAAAGAAATTTGCA